AAGGCTCGCATAAAGAAGTATGGCAGCGGTAGGGCCAGCAACCGTGGTCCTGCTGTCGCCACAGGAAACATGGTCTCAGCACAATATGCTGGTCGAGACGCCACTCCGCCGGGGTGCGCAAGGCCTTTCGTTTGTCCAAGGCTGCTTGAGTCACTTTGGCTGGTGAGTTGCACTCATACCTATGGCGTGCGGCAAGGTTCGAGTCATCTGAACCAAGAAGAGAATCCGCTCTTCAACACGTACCACTGAGGTACAGGCGGCAAATGTGCCGCCCACCACTCACGGTCCGAGCACACGCGCTCCCGACGCGGCCATGACCCCAGTTTAGGTGGTTTAGGTGTGCGGCGATGACAAGGAGAGAGGCCCCCACAGGGCCACAGGGGCTCCGAATGCCAGTCAGCAACTCCTGGAATCATTTATAACCAAGGTTCGGAGATCAGGGTTGAGAGGGTTCAGGGTTCAGGGTGTAGGGGTTCAACATCTGCATCAAATTTTACGCCTTTGCAGGGCGAAATAGTAGCAATGCTGCTTGCAAAGTCCAGACAGCTCGGCTGTCTGAACCCACCATCCTCTTGACCGAAATTTCCTCTACAAACCCTTGCTCTAAAGGATGCGCGCGCCACACATCCTTCCACCCTGAATCCGTTTATCCTTCGCGACCCCCAAGCCCTCCCATGCCCCCTCCCTCCCCCCCCCCCCCCCAGCAAAGCGGCCTCACGGCGGAGGGGTTGTTTTGCAGGGACTGCGATTAGACACGTTTGGAAGTGGGCTGAGGGGGGGGGGGGGGGGGGGGGGGGATTTTAGGGATGTTAGGGTTTAGGGTTTAGCGCGTAGGGTTTAAAGGGGTTCATTCGAGATTCAGGGCTTAGGGTGGTTGAGGGTGCTTTTTGAGTTTAGGCGCTGGGGCTTGAGAGGTCCAGGAATGTAGGGGTGCGGGGTTTAGAACTGAGGAGTTTTCAGGGAACAGTTGGTCTCCGCTTCACGGCAGGTGTTGTTGAACACTAGGCCGCTTAGACTCTCAGCCCCCCTCTAAACCACTAAAACCCTAAACCCTAAACTCCAAACCCTGCATCCTAAACCTTCCTTCCATGGCATGAGGGTGGTCAGGTCCTACCCGCGCGAGAGTCCCCTTAGCCCAAAACATCTGAACCCTGAACCCCTAAGCCCCTAAACCACTACACCCCTAAACCCCCTAGACCCCTACACCCACAAACCCGAAACCCAAAACACCCTCTTGCTGGTTATTAGACCCCTGACCCCCAGACCCCTAAACCCCTAAACCCTAAACCCCAAAAACCCTCTTGCTGTTTATTGTAGCAACCCGCAAGGCCTTCCGGGCGTCATCCCTGAGAATCGCCTGCTGACAGCAGGCTGCAGGCTGGGGCTCGATGTTAGTGTTTAGGGTTTAGGGTTTAGGGTTTAGGGTTTAGGGTTTAGGGTTTAGGGTTTAGGGTTTAGGGTTTAGGGTTTAGGGTTGGGGGTTGAGGGCTGAGGGTTGAGGGTTGAGGGTTGAGGGTTGAGGGTTGAGGGTTGAGGGTTGAGGGTTGAGGGTTGAGGGTTGAGGGTTGAGGGTTGAGGGTTTAGGGTTTAGGGTTTAGGTTTAGGGGTTTGCGAGGGTTTAGGGGTTGAGGGTTGCAAGGGTTCGGGGCTTTTTTCGGGGATTTAGGGTTTGAGGGTTGTAAGGGTTCAAGGGGTTTAGAGCAAAGCGTTTAGTAGGTTTGCCAGTATAGTTTAGTCAAGCAACAAAGGCATCCTACTTGTTTCGTAAGGGATCCCGCCCCCTAAGAAAAACAATTCGTTACTTGAAGCACAATCACAGACAAGTTAAATAGGGTTCAGGGGCTTGGGGCGACAACTTAATTTGCTATCATATAGCTCCATTTTGGTAAGTTTCCTTCGAAACAAGAGCCCAGTAAAGGGCCCCTGCCTCGCAGAACTCCGTGAGCACGCTGAGGTAGGTCCGGGAGAGGCACCTTGACATGGCGTCTGAAGGCGCACGAAGGAAGGCTTCAAAAAAGGAGGGCGCTTGAGGACGGAAAGCCCTCAAGCGAAAACCTAAAACCCTACAACCCCAAACCCTAAACCCCCCAAAAACCTTGGGACCTCCGCACAAAAAAAAGAATACAACTCAAACCCCTAAAGGTGCTCTTTTTCAGGAGCTCTCCAGCCCTCACGCTATACAATAAACATACCATATTATTCTTGCTACATCAGCGCAACTTACAAGAGCCCGTTTGGCGTTGTGTTCTAACCCCCCTTTGAAACCCAAAAGAAGCGCAGCGCCCACACCTGAACCCTAAACCCCCAAGCCCCTATAACCATGAAGAAACGCGCTGCACCCCGCGCCCCCCTTCCACTCCACTCATGTTGAAAGCAGCTGCCCTCAAGCGCCCAAATACCAGTCGCAAACCCCGAGCCCCAATCCCTAAACCCTGAGCACGCTGAACCCTACACTTCTAAATGGGATCCCAATGGACAACCCCCAAAGCCCTAAAGCCTAATCAACCCCTACAAACCCTAAGAAACCCTGCAAGCCCTCACCCCTAAACCCCAAAGCCCTAAGCCCCAAAACTCTGAACACCCTACACACCACGCCCTACGAACCGTCAAATCAGCCTAAAACCCTAAACCGCTTAGCCTCTAACTCAACCCCTACAAGCCTACAACACCCAAAACCCCTAAACCCTAAACCCAACACCCCTAAACCCGAAATCCCGAAAACCCTCCCCCGAACCCTAAACCGCCTCCCTAAAACCCACCAAAACCCCCAAAAACCCAAAAACCCCCAAAACCCCTCAACCTTAAACCCCAAAACCCCGAAACCTCTAAACCCCAAAAACCACCAAACAAACAAAAAAAAAAAAAACGACGTGAAGACGCGCCAGGGCGGCTGGAGCCCCGGGAGGAGCTCGCGGAGCTTCGGCCCGATCTCGGGGAAGCCACGAAGGTTTAGGGTTTAGGGGTTTAGGGGTTTAGGGTTTGGGGTTTAGGGTTTAGGGTTTGGGGTTTAGGGTTTAGGGTTTAGGGTTTAGGGTTTAGGGTTTAGGGGTTTAGGGGTTCAGGGTTGAGGGTTTAGGGGTTTCGGGTTCAGGAGGGTCTAAGGTTGCTTTAAGGCTTGGGGGGGTTGAGGGCTTGGGGCTTCAGGGGTTTAGGGCTTAGGGTACAGCGTGTCAGGATTCAGCGCTTAGGCTTGTAGGCCTGGACAGTCTTAGGAGACCTACGCCTACATCAAGTCACGGCTAACTTCCACACAGCAGGACCCCAACATCCCGACTCACCACATCCCTCCAAAATCCTGCTCGATGCTCCCAGCAGCGCGAACCAGCAATGGGGCCTGGTATGGTACAAAGTGGGGAGTTTCAAGATTCTGAAGCACCAAGAGTCGTCAAATCCCCCCTTAAACGGGCATCAGACAGAAAGGGGCCCAATATCTTGGAAACCCTGAACCCTAAATCCTAACCCCCTAAACCCTACACCTAACAAAAAAAGGAGTGAACAGCAAGAAGAAGAATCTCAGGCCCCAGTGGCCGTGTGAACCACCATCTGGCCCTGGGCGTAGGCGAAGAACTTCGCGCCTAGGGTGGATCGCAGCTCTCCGCTTGAGGCCCTGAGGGGGATGCTACAAACCATAAACCCTAAAACCCGAAACCCTCATTGGAGGGTTTAGGGCTTTGAGGGCGGGTTGGTGAGGTTAGTGGACCAGAACCACACTAAAACCGTCCAACCCTTCAACTCCCTCAAACCCCTGAACTCTCTGAAGCCCTGAATCCCTAAACCCTAACACCCTAACACCCCAACACCCCAAAACCCTAAACCCTAAAGCCCTAAACCCTAAGCCCTAAGCCCTATAAGCCCTAAACCCGGCCCTAAACCCTAAACCCCAAACCCTAAACCCCTAAACCCTAAACCCCCAAACCCCAATCCCTGAAAGCCAAGCTTGGCGCGTCCCTCCGCTTCGGCCTCTCTACTCCTGGCCACAGGCGACGGGGGGTAAGACGGACGTAGGATATGAGACTGTGGGGTTCAGGGTTTAGGGCTTGGGTTTCAGGGTTTAGGGTTTAGGGTTTAGGGTTCAGGGTTCAGGGTTTAGGGTTCAGGGTTCAGGGTTCAGGGTTCAGGGTTTAGGGTTTAGGGTTTAGGGTTTAGGGTTTAGGGTTTAGGGTTTAGGGTTTAGGGTTTAGGGTTTAGGGTTTAGGGTTTAGGGTTTAGGCCCTGAGCCGGATCTCAATCTCAGCGTCAGGGGCCTTGGGGTTTCGGCTTCGAAGGTAAAGGCGACAGTAAGCTCGAGAAGTTTTCACCCTAAGCCCAAAACCCTAAACCCCGAGGCCCTGAACCCAAAACCCTAAACCATAAACCCCAAAGCCTAAACCCTAAACCCTAAACCCTAAACCTAAATTCTAAACCCAAACCCCAAACCCCAAACCCTGAAGCATCCTTAAACCCCAAACCTTAAACTCCAAAGCCGGCTCCCCAAACCCTAAGGCCTCCTTGGAACCTTCCGTGATCAACGATGAGCCCCGAGCCCGCGAGCTGCACTGAGATGTTGCATTTATTTCGCGGTTTAGGGTTTAGGGCTTACGGTTTAGGGCTTAGGGCTCAGGGCTCAGGGTTTTGGGTTTAGGGTTTAGGGTTTAGGGCTTAGGGGGTTTAAATAGGGGGTGGGGGGGGGGGGGGGTAGCAGGTTTTTCAGGTTTAGAGTCTGGAGTTCGGGGCCACAGGCCAAAACCGAACCCTCCTGACGTCAGACTCCCAATTTGTTGGAGGGTTCTGCATGTCGGCATGAGAAACAGGTCGGCCGAGCGCCGAGAAGTGGCGATTCACCTCCACCGCTGAGGATTGTTGCGGGATAGGGGCCCCTGCGGTTTGGGGGAACGGGGTCCTTGGTGTCTTTGACGGAAAGCAAAAAGTGACCACTGCATGATCAAAGTGTGGCCTTCATGACTTCGCACTTTTCTCGGGCGCGCAGCCGCAACTCTCAGGACCAAGTCTGGGAGGTAGGATCACGGCTGAAACAGATTTGCAATCCGGTGCCAGTTCGGAGACCGCACGAGGAGGCGCACGATCTCACTGTGGCCCTGGCTAGCTGCGCAGATGCAGGCGGTGGCCGTGGCGCCGGTACTCCCGACCACCTGCCTGCCAGCCCCAGCCACCAGCAGCAGATGCAGGGCTTCCAAGTGGCCATTGCTAGATGCGCAAACAAGGGCTGTCAATCCAGCGGGGCCTTCCACATCCTCGGCTGCCCTATGAAGCAGATTCAGAATACGATTCTCTTATCATGTAAACCCACAAAGGGACGGAAAAATACAGGAATCCCCCGCAACCTTTTTCCTAGAGTCCTCGCCAGCACGGCCCTCCAGTAACATCTGCACGACTGGTGAGCGGCCGGCGTCAGCTGCCGCAATGAGGGCTGCGCTTGCTGAGCCCGGCCCTTCACTTGCATCACCCCTTGCTTCGAGCAGCAAGGACACAACCTCCAGGTGTCCCCTTCGGGACGCAGAGACCAGAGCCGTGCAGCAGGCGTCGCTCAAGCCCTGCCCACCGGGGGCCAAGAGCAGGCGAAGAACCTTCAACTGGCCTTGACTCGCTGCAGCGACCAGGGCGGTGGATGTCGAGGCGGCATCTACGGAGGCCCCGGCCTGCAGCAGCGCCTGCACCGTGTCGGCGTGTCCGTTAAACGACGCACACGCCAAGGCCGTCAGGCCCACATGGCACGCCGGTTGATGGGCGGCGCCGGCTGCCAGCAGCGCGCGCACGTTTGCCAGGCGGCCGTAGCCCGAGGCCCAGGTCAGGGCAGTCAGGCCGAACTCATCCCGGGCATCCTTGTCGGCCCCCGCATGCAGGAGCGTGCGCACGCCGGCCTCGCTTTCCACAGCCAGGGCCATCCGAGCATCCGCCCTGGACTCGATCAGCAAGGCCGCGATCTCGCGATGGTCGTGGCCAACTGCAACCTCCAGCGCCGTGAGGCCCCAGTCGTTCTCGCTGTCCGTGCTCACCCCAAGCTCCAGGAAGAACCGCACCATCTCGAGGTTGTCGTCGTGCGCGGCGGCAACCAACGGCGACCCGAAATGAGAGTCCACCAAGTCCTTGTCGGCCCCGGCCTCCAGAAGCAGGCGGACGACCTCAAGATGCCCTCCGTACCTTTTGGGGACACAGATGCACCCTTTAAAAAGGGGCTGAGGGTTTAGCGTCTAGGGTCTAGGGTTTAAGGCTTAGGGCTTAGGGTACCTCCATAGAGGGCTCTGAATTCTTACAGGGCACATGACCGCCAAAAAAACTATTTGGGGGGGTTTAGGTGGTCACCCCAAGGTACGATGCCCAGACCAGGGGCAGCTGAAAGTCCTCGTCTGCATCCCCCAGGTTGGGATCCTGGGGACGTCGTAAGATCTCCTCCACCTGGGGAGGAGGCGACGTGAACCTCCTAAAACGGTCTTTATGGCTTCGTATGACCTGAAGAGGGGATTCTTCTTGCAGTTTAGGGTCTATGACGACATGAACCCCTCAAAAGGGTTTTATGGCTTTATATTCAACTTCGGAAGGGACTAACGCAGTATAGGGTATATGACTACATGAACCCTACAAGGGTTTTATGGTTCATGTTATCTCAAGAAGGGACTATGGTAGCATAGGGAATAAAGCCTAAACCCAAAAGCCTATAGGGTCTACCCTAAACACTAAACCCTAAACCATAAATCCTACAAAATAAACCCTAAACCCTATATCCTATAAGGCAGATGAGCCCCAAAATTCTAGGGTTCCTTTTGGTCGGCCCCAAGGAACTTCGGCCACTCGGCCGTCGCCAGCGGCGTCCACGAGCGCCTTCCGCTGCGCCAGCGAGGCCTCGCAGAAGTCCAGCATGACAAGCTGGAGGTCGGTGGGGCCGAGGCCTCCGTGAACTCGACTTGGGGGTTTAGGGTTTAGGGCTTAGGGTTTAGGGTTTAGGGTTTGGGGTTTGGGGTTTAGGGTTTAGGGTTTAGGGTTAGGGTTTAGAGTTTCATGGGGGGGCGTATAAGTAGAGTTGGAAGTAGGGCAACTATGGTTACACCCCTAGTTTAGGGGCACTCCGAACCCGACTTAGAAGTACCCATGAACCTCCACGTTAGGTTGCCCCAAGAAACCTAACAACAACCGAGGCAGACCATGGCTTCATTCCAGCTATCCGAACCCCAAGCAAAAAAAAAGTATGCGCACATATATATATATATATATAACCATATATATATATATATATTGTGCATGCATAAGTCTATCGGCTTATTCGCATTTTCATTGTTATTCACTGTCTCTTTCTGTTATGCGTGTAAAGAGTTGCTTCTCTTAAAAGGGGCATATTGTTCAAAAGGCCTCTGCTGTCGGGGGTCGAAACAATTGCGAGTAGTATTCCCTTATAATCTGTATAGAATATCCCCCAAAACCCTCAACCCTCAACCCTCAACCCTAAACCCTAAACCCTAAACCCGGAACCCTATTCTAGTTACTAAGGCCCCTCCATTCTACTGATCATACTCGGCCTTCGCCGTCGCCCAGCTCGGCGCCGGCGTGCACGAGGCGCTGCCGAAACCGCGGCAGCCCGCAGATCCCCTGGAGGTGGGTTTGGGGTTTAGGGTTTGGGGTTTAGGGTTTAGGGTTTAGGGTTCAGTTACAGGGTGAAAGGCTTCTAGGGTTCTAGGGTTATGGGGTTTAGGGTTGCAGGGTTATAGGGTTCAGAGCTACAGGATTTAAGGTTTAGGGTTTAGGGCCAGTGCAGGCTTGCCTGCAGATGGCGCTTCAGGGCCGTCACGTCGCAGAAGTCATCCACCTCAGCTACTCCTGAAAAAAATAGACTCAATAGACTCCCTGTTTCACATATAGAAACTGTTTACAAAATCTGTACGTGTCTGCGAATAGATGTGTACATATAGATATGTGTGTGTACATATATATATATATAGATATGCATATGTATATATATATATGTACATGTACAAGAAGCACAACTAAGATGAAGAACCCGTGATTTCCAACACCGGTCTGGCCACGGACACGGCGGCCAGCTCCTCGCCGGAGGTGAGCCACACGTGCAGCATGGGGGCTGGCAAGGACGGTCCGTGGCTGCACTGGCCGCCAAATGAGAGGAATTGGTTGATTCTTGGGGGGAAGCAAGGGCCAGCAAGGGCCTTTAAGGGATTTCTTGTGGTTGGGTTTAGGGCTTGTGTGGGGTGGAGGGTTTTGGGGCTTCCGGGCTTCTTGGGGTTTAGGGATTTGGGGTTCTGGACTTCTTCAGCCACATGAAATTGCCACAAATGAGGCGTACCACGCAAAAGCCTAAGTCCCCAAAGCCAGACACAGAGCGAAGACTTTGCTCCCCAAACAAGAACCAGTAATGGGGCCTTCACACTACACCCCTGAACCCTAGACCTTTAACCCTACAGCCCCAAACCCTTAACCCCTGAACCATCGTGGTAGCCGTGAACCCTAAGCGGGTTTGGGGGATTAGGTTTAGAGGTTAGGGTTTAAGGCTTTAGGGCTCTTAGGGTTTTAGGGCTCTTAGGGTTTTAGGGCTTTAGGCTTGCGGGTTCTGGGTCGAGGGCCGTTCCCTGCAGAAACTAACTGGCCCGGAGTTGCACAGGCCACCTGTAGGAAGACTGAGGGCACCCCCAAACCCTAAACCCGAAACCAAGGGAACCCTCGTCTGTTTGAAGGGGTTGGGTTGGGCTTGAGGGTTTAGGACTTAGAGAGATGGGGTGGTTCAGGGTTTAGGGTTGCAGTTGAAGGGATTAGGGTTCTAGGGCTCAGGAATCAACAGCTTGAGGGTTTAGGGTTTAGGGTTTAGGGCTCAGGGTTCAGGGTTTAGGGTTTAGGGTTTAGGGTTTAGGGTTTAGGGTTGAGGGTTTAGGGTTTAGGGTTTAGAATTTAGGGTTTAGGGTTTAGGGTTTAGGATTTAGGGTTTAGGGTTTAGGGTTTAGGGCCGGCTTCCCCTAACTGTAAGGGGGGGGAGGGGGGGGGGGGGGGGGGCGGCCTAGGCCTTGAGTTCAGTCTTTTTAGCGTCCCAAACCCTTCGCCCACCGAAACCCTGAGATGCTCCTGCAAATTTAAGCCCAGCAAGCCCTGCAACTTTTTGTCAACCTCGAACCCTAGAAGCCCTGCAAGCCGCCTGAAACCCGATGAGTACGTATCACAGCCCAGGAAACCCAAACTCACCCTGAACCCTGAACCCTAAACCTTAAACCTTAAACCCTAAACCCTAAACCCTTAACCTAAGCAAGCGCTTGCAGGGCGGGGCCTCTGGGGGAAAGCGGCCGTTGGCAGGAGGCGCCATAAGGTTGAGCCTAGCGAGAGCACTTGACTTCCGTAGGGTTTAGGGTTTAGGGTTTAGGGTTTAGGGTTTAGGGTAAGTTTAGGGTTTAGGGTTTAGGGTTGAGGGTTGAGGGTTGAGGGTTTAGGGTTGAGGGTTGAGGGTTGAGGGTTGAGGGTTGAGGGTTGAGGGTTTACGGTTTATGGTTTAGGGCTTCGGGTTTAGGGTTTAGGGTTTAGGGTTTCGGGTTTAGGGTTTAGGGTTTAGGTCGTCTAGGGTTAGGGTTAGGGTTTAGGGTTAGGGTTCAGGGTTAGGGTTTAGGGTTCAGGGTATAGGGTTTAGGGTTTGCGGTTTGTGGGAGCATGGTAGGGTTTGGGGTGTCTGGACGCCCCTGAAGCGATCTTGGCGTGTGGATGTAGGCTAAGGCGTTCAAGAGGCCTTCTGTAGGGAGACACCATGGGCCAAGAACCAAACCCCTCACAGTTCTCAAAGCCACCGAAAAGAATCAACTCCGATGAACCCGATAAGCACCCAACCCAAACCCGCGAGGCCTGTAAACCCCCATAAACCCAAACGAAAAATTGACGAAGCCCTCCCCCCCCCCCTGCCCACCACCCTAAAACCCTGAAAAACCCTAAAACCCTCAAACCCTAAAGCCCCAAAACCCCAAAACCCCAAAACCCTAAAACCCTCAGACCCTCAGACCCTCAAACCCTAAAACCCTAAAACTAACTAAAACCCTAAAACCCTAAAACCCTGGAAGCTGCACGGCCCTGGCCCCAACCCTACACCGTGCAATTCTAAGATCCTTAAAGCCCGACAACCCTGAAAGTCTTTTGAATTAACTCCCCCCCCCCCCAAAAAAAAAATAAAAAAAAGAAAACACTCAAAGCCTCCCACCCTTTAAGTAGGGTTTAGGGTTCAAGGTTTAGAGGTTAGGGTTTTAGGGCTTTAGGGTGTTAGGGTTTCAGGGTTTTAAGGTTTTAGGGTTTTAGGGTGTTAGGGCTTGGGGTTTAGGGCTTTAGGGTTTTAGGGTTTGGGGTTTTACGGTTTTGGGGTCTCCAATATCTTGGGGTCTGCAAAGGTACCCTGCCCCTGTTCTCGGCGCCCCGGCCACTTGTAGATGGAGCCCGACCTTCGGGATGAAGGCCCTTCCCTCCCAAGGGCCCTAGTAGGGGCGAAAGTGCCAAGGGTTCAAGGGTACCCTAAACCCTAAACCCTAAACCCTGAACCCCAGATCCCACCCTAAACCCTAAACCCTAAAGTCCCCTCAAGATTTGGGCTTGGGGGGTTGGGGCTTGGGGGTGAAGGGAGTTCGGGGTTCAGGGATTTCAGGAGCAGCCTGGGCATGCGGGGTAGATGCAGTGGCAGGTGTCTGTGTGCAATGCGAGATCAACCCCCCACGCTAAAAACCTCAAGCCCTAAACCCTAAACCCTACCACTCCAAACCCACGAACCCTGTAGGCCAAAACGCATCAGATTCCTACATCATGGGCCGCCCCACGCTGCGCCGGCCCCGCGGGCGCTGTTCCGGTAGCCTGGGATTCGCAACAGGCAGCAGGGCTGGGTGTAGGGTTTAGGGTTTAGGGTTTCGGGTTTCGGGTCTAGGGTCTAGGGTTAGGGTTTAGGGTTTAGGGTTTAGGGTTTAGGGTTTAGGGTTTAGGGTTTAGGGTTTAGGGTTTAGGGTTTAGAGTTTAGGGCTTCGGGTTTAGGGTTTGGGCCTAGGGTGTATGTTGAGGGAACTCGACCGTCAAGGAACCCAAACTCGTAACCTGAGCACTCAAGTGTTCCTTTCACATACTCCCAATCCTTGGGGGCCAAATGTGCCCTTGACCCCTAGTAAGGCATAAACCTAAAGCCTAAACCCTAAGCCCTAAACCCGAAACCCTGAACCCTAAACCCTAAACCCTAATCCCCCAAAACCCGAAGAGGCTGATAAAATTCCCTCAAAGCAGCCAATGAAGTTGTAACCCGCGGGGTCGACGACCACAGCCTGGTCGAGCACGGGTTTAGGGTTTAGGGTTTAGGGTTTAGGGTTTAGGGTTTAGGGTTTAGGGTTTAGGGTTTAGGGTTTAGGGTTTAGGGTTTAGGGTTTAGGGTTTAGGGTTTAGGGTTTAGGGTTAGGTTTAGGGTTTAGGGTTTAGGGTTTAGGGTTTAGGGTTTAGGGTTTAGGGTTTAGGGTTTAGGGTTTAGGGTTTAGGGTTTAGGGTTTAGGGTTTAGGGTTTGGTGGGGCTCGGGGGTGCGGTCAGAGGCTTTCGCATAGAAGGGACTCAGCGGTTTAGGGGGTTCAGGAGCTTAGGGGCTTCGGGGCGTAGATGTTTGAGGGAGCTGGGGCTTCGGGCTGGAGCTTCGGGGCTTAGAGGGGAATTTGGGGGCGCTTAACTTTAACGGTTTAGGGTACAGGGTTCAGGTTCAGGGTATAGGGTATGGAGTGTAGCGTTTGGGGTTTTGGGGCTTTGGGGATCTCTGTCAACTCCGAAACGAGGCTCTTCGCTCCGCCGGCAAAGGTCCCAGGCAGAATGACAAGCCCAAAAACCCCAAAAGAACCCAAACGCCCCAACTCTAAGCCCCCCCCCATGAACCCCAAAACCCTCAACCCTGTACCCTTAAACTCTAGACTTGAATCCACACAACTCCACGGCCCTGTGACCAGCCGAGGGCCCTGAGCCCTAGGCCCTTGTGACCCCAAACAACAGCCCCCTACTTTGGAGCTTGGTCGTCCTCGAGAACCCAACTTTATCACCATGCTGGGGTACTAAAGGGGGCTTAGAAGTGGGCTACAACTACACTCACCTAGAACCACCTCCAAGTAACAATCGACCCCCAAACCCTAAACCCTAAACCCTAAACCCTAAACCCCAAACCCTAAACCCTAAACCCCAAACCCGACAGCACCAAAATCCTGAACCCAAACCCTTCCCGCCCGCCTCAATGGGCGTGAACGGGGCCAGCTCCTTGCTGTCCTGCATTTATATAGGGTTTAGGGTTTAGGGTTTAGGGTTTAGGGCTTAGGGTTTAGGGTCTAGGGCTTAGGGTGTGGATTTCGGGGCTTCGGGCTCAGGGTTCAGGTAGGATTTAGACTCGGAGTTTAGGATCAGGTTGGAGATGTGCAAGCTGACGGGCATCAGGCTTTGTTGGGTTTGGGGTTGGTCAGAGGGTGAATGAGCCTTTTCCCCTACTGAACAACTGAGTTGGGGGGGAAGGGTTAGAACCTGCGGTAGCTTGGCAAATTATATTACATTACATGTTCTCGTGCTCTGCGGCACTATACTTTACTTTTGCATTATCCTAAACTTGGCTGCACTCAGGAGGGTAGCTATAACGCAAAATTTTTGCTGCCTTGCTAGGAAACCCAAAAAAACCCACAAAGGCTAAGGATCTAAAGTTACAGTAAAGCACCACGAAGTAAAGAACGGTCCAAAGTTTCAGCTTCTTCTCTTGCTCTTCTTTTGCAGCTCACAGAGCTGGTCCTTGTCGGTGGTGCCCAGCACGCTGTAAGGCTTCACCTGGGCGGATCGACATGGTTAGGGTTTAGGGTTTAGGGTTTAGGGTTTAGGGTTTAGGGTTTAGGGTTTAGGGTTTAGGATTTAGGGTTTAGGGTTTAGGGTTTAGGGTTTAGGGTTTAGGGTTTAGGGTTTGTGGCCGGGCTTCCACTGGCCTCTTCAGTCCATTTGAAGGGGGGCTTGCACAAGCTTGGGGATTCAGGGTTTAGGGGATCAGGGTTTCAGACAGTACTCTCTATTAGAGGTTTAGGGTTTAGGGTTTAGGGTTTAGGGTTTAGGGTTTAGGGTTTAGGGTTTAGGGTTGTGGGTTGTGGGTTTTGGGTTTTGGGTTTTGGGCCTGGGTTTCACATGCAAGGTTTAGGGTTCAGCTCTAGGAGCCATTGCTCTGAATGCCTCGACCCCAAGTAAGAGTTTAGGGCCTAGGGCGCATCATCGGTTCGAAGGAGGCTCGGCCGGCTGAAGCCCCAAAAATGCTAAGCCCTAGACCCCAACACGGGTGCTTGTGACTGTGTGTGCGCATCTTCAGCCCCGAAACCCAAAGCCAAAGCCCAAGCCTAGAACCCCCAAAATGGCCCAACACAAGCACGAATTCTTTACCATGTTACACGCGCGGCTGAAGGTTAAAGGCTTTGGGGGGGGCAGAATGCGTCTCCCACGCTTGAGCACTTGAATCCTCAAACCTCGTCCCGTCAGGATGGCCTCAATCTTGTTCAGCAGCGGGTGCGCGAAGTTCTTGATAACTTCGACCTCTTCAAAGGCTGCTTAAGGGCAAGTGCCCCAAACCCTAGAAACCCTTTAACCCTTGACCCTTAGACCCTCAAGCCCCAAAGCCCTTGAACCCCCGAAACCCTAAAACCACCCGAGGCCCTTAAACCTTTGAACCTGAAAACCGTAAGCAAGCCCGAGATTGAGGAAACCCGAACCCTAAACCCGAAACCCCAAACCCTAAACCCTAAACCCTAAACCCTGAACCCAAGTTTGCGGTTTTGGCACCCATACTCGAGGCGCAACCGCCCCCCAAATTGAGGGGTTTGGGGGGCCTCAGGCGTCTTAGGGTTTAAGGGTTTAAGGGTTAAAGGGTTTTAGGGGTTTAGGGGTTTAAGGGTTTTAGGGTTGAGGACTTTTAGGGCTTTAGGGTTTTAGGGTTTAAGGGTTTAAGGGCTTTAGGACTTTTAGGGTTTTAGGGTTCTAGACTTTTATGGTTGTATGACTTTAGGGTTTTAGGGTTTTAGGGTTTTAGGGTTTAGGGTTTTAGAGCTTTAGGACTTTTAGGGCTTTTAGGGTTTTAGGACTTTAAGGTAAGGGTGCAGTGCTTGTAGGGGCTTAGGGCTCAGGCGCCTGCCCCTCCAAGCCCTGGTTCCGGCCGGCGCCGGCGCCGGCGCCGCCGCCCCACCTGAGCTCCAGCCCGCCCTCTCCCACCCGAAACCCTAAACCCTAAACCCTAAACCCTCAACCTTAAACCCTTAACCCTAGCCCTAAACCCTAAACCCTAAACCCTAAACCAACCCTAAACCCTGAATCATAAGCCCTAAACCCTAAACCCTAGCTACGAAAATCCGGCCCTCCATTTGTTCTGAACACCCCTCAACTCCCCGGTCAAGATGCTCACGGTTGAGGGTTCAGGGTCTATACTACGGTTCGGAGATTAGGCTTTAGGGTTGAGGGTTTAGGGTTGGTTTAGGGTTGGTTTAGGGTTTAGGGTTTAGGGTTTAGGGCTAGGGTTTAAGGTTTAGGGTGTTTGGGGTGGGTTGGGGGGGGGGGGGGGGGGGGGGGGGGGTGGTTTAGGGCTTTTGGGTGTACCCCGCGAGCCTAGTGAATCCTGGGCGAGCCGACCCTTGGCCGCTGGGCATTGATGCGGTATAACCCTAACACCTAAACCCTAAACCTCCAAACGCCTGGACCCAAACCCCCTATATAACACCTTGACCCCTAAACCTACTAACACCTAAATCTAAGCCCTAAGCCCTGAATCCCCCCACACTCTTCGAAGTCTGCATAGGGTTTAGGGCATTCGGGTTGAGGGTTTGGGGTTTAGGGTCAAGGGTTAAGCTTAAACTCTGAATCAGCAAGACCTCCTAACCTATAAACCGCTAAACTTCACAAACTTCCTAAACCCTAAGCCCTGTGAACTAAACCCTATATACTAAACCCGAATCCCTAAGCCCCAAGCCCTAAGCCCTAAGCCCGAAGCCCTAACCCTAAACCCGAAACCCTAAACCCTAAACCCTAAACCCTTAACCCTTAACCCGAAACCCTAACCCTAAACCCTAAACCCTAAACCCTAGACCCTAAACCCTAAACCCTAGACCCTAAACCCTAAACCCTACCCCTCAGGGTCCTCAAAGCCCAAGCGGCCAGCCAGCCGGCTTCGGCGCCTCTGTAGGCGCCGCTGGCAGGTCCAAGTCCTCCCGGGCGGGCTGAAGTTTAGGGTTTAGGGCTTAGGGTTTAGGGTTTCGGGGTTTAGGGTTTAGGGTTTAGAGTTTTTTAGGGTTTAGGGTTTCGGGTTTAGAACTGGGGCGTCTGGCTGTTGTAGGCTAAAGTCCCAACCCAAAGCCCAAAACCCCACCAACCAAACCCCAAACCCCAAACTCTAAACCCTGAACCTTGAACCCTGAACCCTAAACCCTACCCTTCTCAACAGATCCCACTTGAAGACCCCTAAGCCCTAAGACCCGCCCCCCCCCCCTCTCGCCCCCTATAAAGGGGTCGCCTCGAGTCCCGAGCCGCCACTTGGCCAGATCTGTCAGAGGCGCTGAGGAGGTTTAGGGTTTAGGGTTTGGGGTTTAGGGTTTCGGGTTTCGGGTTTCGGGTTTCGGGTTTCGGGTTTGAGGTTGGGCTTTGGGGTTTGTGATTTCGGGCCTGGAGACTTTGGGTTTTGTGATGTTTAAGGCTTAGGGTTTCAGATTTCATGCTTATGAGTTCATGATTTTGAGGTTAAAGCTTTATGGGTTAGGGTTTATCTAGGGCCCGAAGTATGGGCCCTTAATTTGGGTCCCCTGTTATATAACCCTTATCTACACTATGCATAATAAGGGCCCATACTTCGGGATCCCTCTAAATCCCTTTAAACAAGGGTAAGAGACCATACTAAGGGCGCATCCCCAACCAGAGTTCAGGGTGTAGGTTTGGAGGGGCCTGATCGGGTTTCGAGTTTGGGGTTTTGGGGGGCTGAGATGTCAATAGTTGTTTCTTTGGGCCCGAACCCTAGACCCTAGACCGCAAACCCGAAACCCTAAACCCGAAGCCCCAAGCCCTGAACCCTAGACCCTAAACCCTAAACCCCAAACCCCAAACCCTAAACCCCAAACCCTAAACCCCAAACCCGCAGGCGCCTGATCTCGCAGCTGTTTTAGCTGTGTGATGCTGTTGGCGTGGAGGTTCTGCAGCTCCGCGAGGCCTCAGTCTCTCCCAAGAAATTCTTCCCGAACAAGATGCCCCCATCCGTTTTAAGGGTGTAGGGTTTAGGGTTTGGGGTTTAGGGTTTAGGGTTTACAGAAATTGTATAGGGTTTGTGTCCGGGGTTTTGACCGGTTTTGACCGGGTTTTGACCGGTTTTTTCTTTTGCTTTTGAACAAAAATGAGATGGCTTTCCAGGCTTGGGGAAGGTGGGGGGAAGGGGTGGGCGGGGGGGAAGAAGGGGGGGGATCCCGACATCCCTACTGCAAGCCCTTGGAGGCCCCTCTGGAAGCCCTCCCGAAGTACCAATGTGTGTTGGGTGGCAGTGGGGTAGGGGGTTTGGGGGGTGTTTTGGGGTCGAAATTTTCAATTTGAAACACTACAATTTCTATTTATCCTGGCCTTGAGGGTTTAGGGTTTCGGGTTTAGGGTTTAGGGTTTAGGGTCTAGGCTTTGGGGTTTAGGGTTTAGGGTTTCGGGTTTAGGGTTTAGGGCTTAGGGCTTAGGGCTTAGGGTTTAGGGTTTAGGGTTTAGGGTTTAGGGTTTAGGGTTTAGTGTTTAGCGTTCATAGGGAGCTAGAGCTTTAGAGGCTTGAGGGTTTGGGGGTCCGAAACCCTAAACCCCAACTGGCGAATCCGCTCCGGCCGCGAGGCGCTTGATCTGCTTTCGGAGCTCGCTGTTGCTTGTAACCTCAGCTTAGACATGGGAGCGAAGAAGGGTTCGGGGCTTCGGGTTTAGGGGTCTTCTTGAAGTCAAAGATGGGGTGCCGCACAGGGCCATGCGGCGCCATATTCACCTAAGGACCCTGAATTCAGGCTGGTTTGGGGCGGGTAGGGGGGTTGGAGCTTAACAGGACTGCTTCGGGTAGGGGGCTTAGGTAGCCCAAGGATCCTAAGGACAACCTGGGACCTCGGCCCAGAAAGTCCCACTTCACCCACCCAGCAACCTGGATTTCAGCATCCATTTTGGGCTTCGCTTTGTGAACCCAAGCCCCACCCCCCAAACCTCTCACATCCAGCCATCCCAGAAATGGGGGCCCGACAGGGAAGCCCGGGCAACACCCGACCTGGCATGGAAGGCTTGCGGGAGGTTCATGGGATAGTGGGCAGAGATCATGAAAAGGCAGCTCCTCAATGGTGTCCGACTGATGTTCCTTGAAGGTCCGTGGCTTCTCACAGGGGCGCCACACGGATGAAACTGAAACCTCGTTTTCGGAAGTGCCCTTGAAGCTCGACCCAAGACCCCAAACCCAGAACCCTGAACCCTTTAAGCCGCACAGCCAAAAAAACATACTATACTCAAGACCCTTAAACCCTAAACCTAAACCCTAAATCCAAACCCTAAACCCCAAACCCTGGGGGCCTCCTCCTCTTGCACTAGGTTGGCGCTGGACGCGCCGATCATCTGCGGATGAGGGTCTCGAGTCTAGGGCCTACAGGCTTACCCTAAACCCTAAACCCCAAACCCCAAACCCCAAACCCTAAACCCTAAACCCTAAACCCTAAACCCTAAACCCTAAACTCTAACTGACTCATAGAATCCTCAAATCGGGTACACCCAAGAATCTAAGACCTAAAGAGAAAGTGTAGGGCCCAGGCTTGCCTTCAGGGATGTAGCTTGAAAAGCTAAGGGCTCGTAGGGCTTCTGCTTGTCGGGCTTTGAGTTTAGTCCGGTGCAGGGTTTAGCGGTCAACCCTAAACCCGAAACCCTAAACCCTAAACCCGAAACCCTAAAGCCTAAACCCTAAACCCTAAACCCTAAACCCTAAGCCCTAAGCCCTAAGCCCTAAGCCCTAAGCCCTAAACCCCATACCGAGGCTGATCTGACCCACGGTGCGCTTACAGGGCTGCGGGTTTGGAACCCTGAACTCTCCTCCCTAAGCCCTAAGCCCTAAGCCCTAAACCCTAAACCCTACACCCTCAGCCCTAAACCCTAAACCCTCAGCCCTAAACCCTACACCCTAAACCCTAAACCCTAAACCCTAAACCCCAAAGCCCCTCCTTTAAAAGAGACCCCCCCCCTCCCCAGGTTTCTGGGAAGCCGCACCAAGGATTTGGCTCGACCCGACTCCGCCTCAAGGGGAAGCACGTGGGAGCTTTCGAGGGTGTTGGGGTGCATAGGGTTTGGGGCTTGGGGTTTAGGGTTTAGGGTGTAGGGTTTAGGGCTTAGGGCTTAGGGTTCAGATTGGGGTTTATGGTTGTTGGGGGCACAGGGCTTGGGGATGGAATATTTTGGCTATGTGTAGGGGTCAGGGGTGTTGAGGCTCTGAGGCTCTAGGGCTTAGGAGGAGTTGGGGATGTTGAGAGTGTTTGCGTTTTCCAGTAGGGCTTGGGGTTTAGAAAGGTTAAGGGTTTAGCTTGGGATAAAGACTGGAACAAACAAAACTTGTCTGCAAACATCTTCCAAATTTCTTGCTTCCCATGCGCCTGGCCCACGCGAACTGCCTCGGCGGCTAGGGCGTTGAGCTCGTCGGGCGTCCGCGGAGGCTGTCCTGAAAAGCCAAGACAGGGTTCGAAGGTTTAGGGTTCAGGACTAGGGTGTAGAGTTTATAGGGTTAAGGCTTAGGGTTTCGGGCTTGGGGCTCTAAACCCTGAACTCCCTAGGCTCTCAACGCCCTTCAGCCCGAAAGCCCAGGCCCCTGACGTCCTGGACGGCAAAACTTTCGGGTTTAGGGTCTAGGTTCAGGAAACTGCGACGAAACAACAACAGCTCAACCCTAACCCTAACCCCAAAAGCCTATACCCACAAATAGCCGAGGCCGAGCGCACTCCTCCCGAGCTTCGAAACCGAGCTAGCCCCACAGCGGTTGTTTGCGTTGGTGAAGGTGATTGGTTTCTTTGCAATCAACAAACTTGCCACACTTGCAAGAAATTTTCTCTTTTTGTTTTCAAGTACTTCAACGAATGGGTCCTCGTTGTAACACTGGGTTCTATCAGTTCAATGCCAATATCGATCTGTGTTTAGGGTCAAGGGCCGGGCTGAGAGTCCTCTACCATAGTCCCTATCTGGGTTTAAGGTTTGGGTTTTGGGGGATATAACAATCCTTCTTGCCGTATCCATGAGGGTTCTTTCAGTCTCGAGAAAGGAAATGGCACATTGCGAGGTCGACTACAAGAGTTAAACCCTGAACTGCCCAAAGCTGAAAGCCCCAGACCCTAAACTGCCCAAAACCCAAAGAAACCCAAAAAACCCTAAACCCAAAGAAGCCTAAACCCTAAACCCTAAAGCCCTGTGACCTTAAACCCTAAACCCTAAACCAGCGCCAGATGATGCCCGAGGGCATCCCAGGACCCAGCCCCCCGGTCCTTCTTTTATCCGCTTCTTCTCTTCCAGGTCCAGCTCTTTTCGCTTCTGGCCTCGGGGGAAGCCCTTGAGCCGAGTCCGAGTTTTGCCAGCCCTAAGCCCTAGAACCCGATGACCCGATGACCCAAAAATCCTACAACCCTATAACCCTACCCTATCACCCTAGAAACCCTATAACCCTATGTTTGCTGTTGTTTCTTTTGGGGGGTTTTGGAAGGTCAGGAGTTGCAGGTTTAGGTGTAAGGCTTAGAGTTTTAGGGGTTTTACGCATTGGGGACTTTAGGGTTTTAGGGTTTGGGGTTTGGGGGCTTTAGGGTTTTGGGGTTTTGGGCTTTGGTTTTAGGGTTTAGGGTTTTAGGGTTTGGGGGTTTGGGGGTTTTAGGGTTTTGGTTTAAGGGTTTTTGGGGTTTCTTGGCACAGCGCTTAAGAGCTGAGCGCTGGGGCCGCCGCGGACCTGCTGGTCCAAAGCTGCTTTGGCCTGTCAGAGCGGAGGTTGGGGCCTTTAGAGATTTAGATTGGGATGCTTCCCCTTGTACTAATAGTCCTTAACAAGGATTATAGATACCCCCCAGTATCATCCCTATTAAGGACTGTTAGGATAAGGGGGAACATTCCCAAGGTTTAGGGGGTTAGGATTGAGAGGGGTTTGGGATTAAGAATTTAGGGTTTGGAGGTTCCGGGTTCCAGGTCGTAAGCCCTAGGCCCTAAACCCTACACCCTACACCCGAAACGCTTGCAGACCCGAATGATGCACTCTTCAGGGCAGGTGGAGGCTCTGGCAAGGCCCAATCCACTGAACAGCCTATGGGTGCAAAAGCCCTACACCCATGTACCCCTGCCCCCCAAATGTCCACAAAACCCCTCAACCCTAAACCCTAAACCCCAAACCCCAAACCCTAAACCCGAAACCCCACACCCCATAAACCGAAACCGGATCTGCCCCCCTAAACCCCCAAATGGCCACAAAACCCCTCAACCCTGCACCCTAAACCCTAAACCCTAAACCCTAAACCCATAAACCCCTCAACCCTCAACCCGCGGCCTTCAGCTCGGCGGCCTGGCGCCGCTGCTGCGCCAGGCGGCGGCGCTTCAGATCCTGCTTCGGGAATGGGAATCAGGGTTTCGGGTTTCGGGTTTAGGGTTTAGGGTTTGGGGTTTAGGGTTGGGGGTTTAGGGTTTAGAGTTTAGAGTTTAGGGCACAGGGTTTAGGGCTTGGGGATTTAGAGTCTGAGGGAGACCCTAAACAGCTTCAGTTTCCGGGTTCATGGCTGGCTCTCCGCGCCTTGGCTTGCTGCAACTCCAGCCGTGCGCGGAGGCCTGGGTCTCTCAGCTTCACGTCGCAAAGTGCGGCTTAGCGCTTGGTCAGTTCTCTAAGTTTAGGGTTTAGGGTTTAGGGTTTAGGGTTTAGGGTTTAGGGTTTAGGGTTTAGGGCTTAGGTGCAGAAGAGGGGGCCGCCTGAATAAGGATCTAGAATCCTGGAAGGGGGCTATTTTTTAAGTGAGGGCTCAGGATTCGTTCTTTAGGATCGAGGCTTTGGGGCTCTTGAGGTTCGGATGAACCCGAAGCCCCCAGAACCCAAACCAGAATGCATCCCCCCCAACGCTACTTCTTGCACTGCAAAGGTGCAGGGCGTGTATTGCTTGTCCAGGAATTCGCGGCTGTCTTCCTGGCAGCCGGGCAAGGGGAGTTTTGCGCAACCTCACCCGCCTCAGAACTCCCTCCCAAGCCGCCTAAACCCTAAACCCTAAACCCTAAACCCTAAACCCTAAACCTAAACCCTAAACCCCTAAACCCTAAAACCCCAAACCCAAAACCCAAAACCCAAAACCCTAAACCCTAAACCCTAAACCCTACAGAGGGTGGCCTTCAGCCGGCTTTCGGGGCTTGGCGCGCCTCGACCTTCTGCCAATCCTTGGCAAAGGCCGTGACCTCCTTCTCAAACTGCTCCTTAAGGGCCTTGTCCTTGTCCAGTCCTGGGAGGCACTCGGGGTTCAGGGTTTAGGGTTTAGGGTTTAGGGTTTAGGGTTTAGGGTTTAGGGTTTAGGGTTTAGGGTTTAGGGTTTAGGGTTTAGGGTTTGGGGTGCAGGGTTCAGGGTGGGTGCTAAGCTTTCGGGCTTCGGTTTTGGGGCTGGAGCTCGGCCATCGTGGCCCAATTTGCCGATCAGCCCTGAACACCTCAACCCCAACCCCCCAAAACCCTAAACACCTAAGCCCCTAAACCCTCTAACCGCGACCTCCCTCCCCAATCCCACTGAATCCGCACCGGCAAAGCCCGTCATTTTTGAAGTCTCTAGCACCTGTTCATGTTAAGTTCACAACGAGAACACTTTACAATTTGGTATACTGACAAAAACCACCAAAACACGAAACGAACGCAACCTCTCATGAAACAAAACAACTGTCCCAGCCATATCCAATTTGATTAGTTGATACTATCTTATAAAAAAAGAAACATTTCAAAAAATAGACGCGTGTTTTACGAGTGCCCCAACCCTCAACCCGAACAAATGCCCTAACTGCTCAAACTTCTAAACCCTACTAAAAGCCCACACCCCAAACCTTTAACCTTGAAAACCCCCAACTCCTCAGCCCTGGAAAACCACAAAAACAAAACGGTCCCAACTCCAAAACCCGAAGCCCTCAAAGCCTAAACCCTAAACCCTAAACCCTAAACCCGAAACCCTAAACCCCAAACCCTAAACCCTAAACCCTAAACCCTGAACCCTGAACCCTGAACCCTAAACCCCAAACCCCAAACCCCAAACCCTAAACCCTGAACCCTGAACCCTGAACCCTAAAACTCCAAGCCTTGAACCCTAACCTGGCCCAGCGGCGGTGGTTGAAGCGCTGCACCTGATGTCGTGGCCCCCCCAAGAGGTTTAGGGTTTAGGGTTTGGGGTTTAGGGTTTGGGGCTTAGGGTTTAGGGTTTAGGGTTGGTCCCTTTCAGGGTTGTTTAGGGGTGGTCTGGGTAAGGCAAAACTACCCTTAGAACCCTACTTGAAGGTTCAGGATACTTATAACCCCAAGTACAACTCTACTTAGAACCCCCCCCTAAGTCCTCCTAGGTAGGTTATAAGTAGCCTCATATTTGGGGTTCTAAACCCTAAACCCTAAACCCTAAACCCTAAGCCCATGAACCTCCTCGAAACTCAGCCCTCCCATGCCAAACCGAGCAGAGATGGCTCCGAGGCGCGTTGTTCGCCACGTTGCTGAGGTAAGTCTCAAAGCCCGCGGCGTCGGAATCGATCTGCGGGCCATGCGGCAACGGATGAGGACGGCTTTGTAGGGGTTAGGGGATTTGGGATTTGGGGTTTAGGGTGTGGGGTTTAGGGTTTAGGGTGTAGTTTAGGGTTTCGAATGAGAGTAGCCCAAAAAAAGCCTCCCAGAGTCCCAGAGCCTCAGACGGCGCCAGGTGCCCCCATGCTGGGCATGAAGCGTGCACTTCTCTAATGGGGTTCCAAGACTCGGGCTTTGTATTTCAGGATATCCGAGAAGGGATGAGTTAGAGAACCGACGAATATCACTGTTGCTACGAAAAAAATTCTACTATCTACGACTACTCACTCTCATTTGCGATTAGTTACTACTCTCCACTATCATTTACTATTGCTTACTCTTATTGAATATACTATTTGCCATATGTACCAGCACTTACTACGACCTCGCGCGGCGCCGCCTGCTTGACGAGCTTCCGGTTCTCTACTTCGGAGGACTGCATGTAAGCGATGGCTCCTGGAATCTCAGGGCGTAGAGGGTTCGGAGTCTTAGGGCTTGCAGGGCCAAAAAAAGGGGGGTTTAGGGTTTAGGGTTTAGGGTCTAGGGTTCAGAGTTTCAGGGTTGTAGGGTTCAGGGAAAAGGGTCTTGGAATCTAGGGTTTAGAGGGTTTAGAGTCTTAGGGAGCTTTGTGTGGTGGAGCGTCGCGAGGTTCAGGGCTGAGGGCCTAGGATGTCCCCTCACCCCCTCCCCCCACCAACCAAAAAACATCGAAGGAGGTTGAGGGTTTAGGATGCAGGGCCAGTTTAGGGCTTAGGGGTTTAGGGTTTAGGGTTTAGGGTTTAGGGTTCAGGGTTTTAGCCCCTACCTGTGTGGCAGGGCTGGGGGTTGATATTAAATATTGGCCTGGCCCCTAAATTTGTAAGAAGAAGGGACTAGCATTCCAGATCCTGCCTAAACCCTAAACCCTGCAAACCCTGAACCCTAAAACCCGAACCCTAAACCCTAAACCCTAGCCATACCAAACCCCAGACCCTAAATCCCAAACCCTGCTGAAAAGCCTAAACCTTTGACCCTGAATCCCTATTCAGGTTCAACAACTCCTGCGAAAAGACTACAGGTCCATGTACCTTCATAGCATATACTTGGGCCTCAAAGGGGTTCCCACTTCGTTTAGGGTTTAGGGTTTAGGGTTTAGGGTTTAGGGTTTAGGGTTTAGGGTTTAGGGTTTAGGGTTTAGGGTTTAGGGTTTAGGGTTTAGGGTTTAGGGTTTAGGGCTTATACTATGTAGGTGCCCGGATCCCTCAGCCCGCTGAACCCTTGGCCCACAGCAAAGGCTCCGTAGACGCACAGGCTGCCCGCTGCCATCGCCACCAAGGAGCACACCACGGCAATGACCTCTGCGTGCTGAACCCCCCCTCACAAAAAATGTATGTATATATATATATATATGTAAACAAAAATGAAACAAACAAGTGTATACACATAAATATATATATATATATATATCACTTGTAAGTGCAATATGGGGATTACTATTCTTTTCTGTCTTTTGGGCTTCTTAAGCAAATAGCAGTTAGGGTTAGGGTTTGCAGTCCGGGCTCAGGGCTTTCGATTTGAACGTTTAGGACCGAGGGTTCAAAGCTTTCCGACATCTTCCAGGGAGTCGCATCTACAAGTTTGAGGGCGAGGTGGCGGGGTCTCTAGAATTTGCAGTTCAGGGTTAGGGTTTAGGGAGCTGCATCTGATGGGCTTCAGTGGTGACTCTAGGGCTTGCGGTTCAGGGTTTAGGGTTGAGGCCTTCGGGTTTAGGGCTTAGTTTTTGTTCAGAGCCTTGGGGCTTCATACTTCGGATAGGCTCGGGAGACGTTGAGCCCGCCGACAATCCCCATGACAACCCCAAGCCTGAGAAGCCCGAAGCTGGCAAAGACCCAGAGCAAAACGCCTAAATGCCCAAGACAAGCGCATGCTCTAAGAACATGAAGGTAGCGCCGGGACCTAGACCCGAAACCCTAACACCCCACCCCCCCCCCTCGGGGTGACTTGAGGTTTAGGGTTTCGGGTTTAGGGTTTGAGGGCCAACTTTGCCGCCAAGCGGCGATGATCAGGGTACTGTCATCCTGAGCCGGTGCGCCCACGACAGCTCTGGAAGAGGTGGTGGTGGTGGTGGCGGCGGGCGTGGTGGTCGTGGCCGAGGTGGTAGTTGCCGGGCCTAAGGTTGTTGGGGTGTTGGGGTTTAGGTTTAGGGTTTAGGGTTTAGGGTTTAGGGTTTAGGGTTTAGGGTTTAGGGTTTAGGGTTTAGGGTTTAGGGTTTAGGGTTTAGGGTTTAGGGTTTAGGGTTTAGGGTTTAGGGTTTAGGGTTTAGGGTTTAGGGTTTAGGGTTTAGGGTTTAGGGTTTAGGGTTTAGGGTTTAGGGTTGTTTAGGGTTTAGGGTTTAGGGTTTAGGGTTTAGGGTTTAGGGTTTAGGGTTTAGGGTTTAGGGTTTAGGGTTTAGGGTTTAGGGTTTAGGGGGGTTTAGGGTTTAGGGGGGCCTGCAGCATTTGAGGGGGGCGTGCAGGGGTTGGGTTCGTTTCTTCTGGCTTCACATCGGACCCCTCCTCACCTTGCAGCCCCCTCCCAAGGCCCTTTACTAAGCCCCCAACACCCTAAACCCGACATTCTAAGCCCTAAACCCTAAACCCTAAACCCTAAGCCCTAAATCCTAAACCCTAAACCCTAAACCCCCAAAAATCAGAAAGAAGCGACAACGGAGCCGGGGCACTGGTGCAGTTGGTGGTGTTGCCTGGGGCAACGGCGCTGCGGTCGGGTGCCGCTTTGGGGCTTTGGGGCTTTGGGGCTTTGGGGCTTTGGGGCTTTGGGGCTTTGGGGCTTTGGGGCTTTGGGGCTTTGGGGCTTTGGGGCTTTGGGGCTTTGGGGCTTTGGGCTTTGGGGCTTCGGGGGAGTTTGGGGAGTTTGGGGGGGGTTTTGGGGGGGTTTTTGGGGGGGTTTTGGGGGGGTTTTGGGGGGGTTTTGGGGGGGTTTGGGGGGGTTTTGGGGGGTTTTTGGGGGGTTTTGGGGGGTTTTGGGGGTTTTGGGTTGCTTAGGGGGTCCCCCGACCCCAAACCCGACACAGATGCGTACGTCAAGCCGGGCGTCTGTCGCAACTGGCTCCTGCCGGGGCTCATGTCTAAGCTTGGGGTTGAAGCTGAGCGTTACTAGGGTGAAAGGGCTTGCCAGGGTTTAGGGTTTCGGGTTTAGGGTTTAGGTTTCGGGTTTAGGGTTTCGGGTTCAGGGTTTAGGGTTTCGGGTTTCGGGTTTAGGGTTTAGGGTTTAGGGTTACTAGGGTGAAAGGGTTGCCAGGGTCTAGGGTCTGCGGAGCCTTAAACCCGGCCCGAAGACCTCAAGTAGCAGTGTAGTGACTATGGAGGGATACGCCCCCACTTTTCGGGGAGGTTCGGCAAACACTAATTGTTGTGCCGGGGGGAGGGAGGGGGGAGGCGACCCTGTTGTATAAATTGAAATGATGAAAAGCTGCATACGGGCGCATGAAGGTGTCTAACAAAAACAGGCTGTGTTGACAGCATGCTCCTCCCGACACGTCCCCTCCAAACCCCAAAACCCCTCCAAGATCCAAACCAAGCCATGTGAGGGTGCTTCTCATGGTGTAGGGCTCAGGTGCATCAGGGTTCAGGGCTCGGTGTTAGAACTTACCAGGGCCTTGACATTGAAAGGGGACCCCGTTTCGACCCTCTACAAGCTGAGGGCCCATACTTCAGAGCCCCTTGAAGGATGGTCCCTCAGGGGCCATGTAGCTACCCTTAGACTCGGCCTTAGACCACCGGGGGCCCCGAAAGCACTCTAGGGCTTAGGGCTTAGGGTTTAGGGTTTCGGGTTTAGGGTTTAGGGTTTAGGGTTTAGGGTTTAGGGTTTTAGGACACTCAAGGGGAGCCTGTGGAGGTGGTGGTGGTGCTGGAGTTCGTGTCGTTGGAGTCGTTGCTGGCGGCCAGCTGTCTCAGATACGGCTCGCAGGAAAAGAGGCGGACCAAGGCCACCAGCAGAAGCACCTCCCGGAGCACTAGTGTTTAGGGTTTGGGGTTTGGGGTTTGGGGTTTAAGGTTTAGGGTTTAGGGTTTAGGGGTTAGAGGTGCTCTAAGGTTCAACCCCAAACGCTGAGCCTCAAACCTAAGCCTTACACCCTAAACCCTGAAACCCCAAGCCTTAAACCCCAAACATCCCCAAGCCCGAAACCCTGGCGCTCGGACAACAAAAATGGGAGCTTAGGGAGAACACAAGACCAGGGTTTAGGGATTGGGGTTGGGGGTTTGGGGTTTGGGGTTGGGGCTTCGGGCTTCGGGAAAAGCAGGTCGTGGAAAGGTGTTCCTTCAGGTCTTCCGGCATATCTGTCACCCCATTAAACCCTAAACCCTAAACCCTAAACCCTAGACCCTAAACCTAAACCCTAAACCCACAACCCCTAAATACTGAAAGACTGAAGCCCCAGACCTCTGAAGCCTTAAGACCCTCAAAATTCTCAAGAGCCCTCCTCTCCGCCCCCTCTCCCCCTCCCCCCCTCCCACCAAAAAATGGAAATCTAAACCCTAATCCCTAAACCTTAAACCCTCAACCCTCAACCCTCAACCCTAAACCCTAAACCCTAAACCCTAAACCCTAAACCCTAAACCCTAACCCTAAACCCTAAACCCCAAACGCGAACCCCCCGAAGCCACGAGCCGGCCTGGAGAGTGCAACACCTCGCCATGCCCGAACCTGCGACTCCCGGGTTTACAGGCTTTCTGGTTTAGGGGTTTAGGATTCGACCGTAGGGTTTAGGGATTTAAAGGGGTTTAGGGGTTTAGGGGTTTAAAGGTTAGGGCTTAGGGATTTACGATTCGTAGGGTTTAGGGATTTCGGCTTGAGGGTTCGGAGATTTAGGGATTCAGGTGTTAGGCTAAGAAGCCGGTGGAACCAAAAACCCGAAACGCTAACAACGCGTGGGCGTGGGGGGGGGGGCTCCTGTTAGGTACCTATTGTGACAGGTTTCCTGCGAAACTGCTACACAAAAAGAGGACCCCCCAAAAAGGAGGGACCTGCACTCACAACCCTAGACCCCCCCCCCCCCAACAAAGAAAAAACAGGGAGGCCCCTAAACCCTAAACCCCTCAACCCCAAAACCCTAAACCCCTCGACCCCTAAACCCCCGAATCCCTAAACCCCACACCCCCCAAAAGGAAACTCCGCGGTCCAAGGCGCGGTCAAGCCCCTGGCGGCCCAGGTGGGCCTTTCCTGAGCTGCTCTTGATGATTGAGGGTCTAGGGCTTAGGGCTTAGAGCTTCGGGTTTAGGGTGCAGTTTAGGGCTTAGGATTTAGGGTTTGGGGCTAAAACGCCTCTGGGCTTCGGGATTATCGCCGGGCTTACGGTTCAGGGCGCACGGGGTTTAGGGTTTTGGGGCTCAGGAGGGTGTTGGGTGCCTTTTCTCTGAGCTGCTCTGAGAACGCCTCTAAAGAATGTGAGGCTTCGGGCTTGCAGGGTTGGGCTCTTGGTCAAGGGCTTGCAGGGCTTATGGAGCTTTCAGGCGTTCCAGAGAATGTAGAAAAATAGCCCAACAGCAGCCGTGACGGCCTGACCAGCTGAACAAACTTACACTTCTTGGCGTTGCTTCAGTTGCTTACTGCTGGTACGTATGACTGGGACTTGAGCTCCTCCACTGATCTATCATTGTCATCATTGGCCCAAGCTTCAGGGCAGCCACGGGCTCCTTCTTCTGCCGCGCCCTCCGCGAGAGAGAGGGCGGCTGCGAGCCGAAATCCGATGGCGGGGAGCGCTCAAACCCCAAGTCCGTAAGTCGTCGGAATAGAAGCCTGTATTGCAAAATACAGGCAAGAAGAAAGACAAGAACAGGAATGAACTAGCACTCATCTTATACGGGCAATTCTCTACATTTTCTGTATGGTACGGCACCTCTAAACGAAGAACACCCCGAAAGGGACTCTAATTTGGAGCACTACCCATATAAGGCGAATCAAAGTCATCATCACCAACACAACTATTCAAGGTTTGCCTCCTGGTGCCTGCCGGGGGGGAGGGGTCTTGCAGGGGCTGTTGGAAGGTTTCTTTGGGGGTGTTCCTGGTTTAGGGCTTGGGGTGGAGGGCTCAGGGCCAATCCCGAAGCCCTAAACACAAGAGGTTGTGGGTTTGGGGGCTTTGGATTTGGAGGAACCCCAAGACCTTCAACCCCACGAACACTGTTGGGGTTTAGTATGTAGGGTTTTAGGGCTGCGCCTACTAAACCCTGAACCCTAACCGAGTTCCAGCAGTCACCACCCAGGAAAAGCTTTGAGAGCTCAGGGCTTAGGACCCCAAACCCTAAACCTAACAACTCTAAACCCGAAACCGTCCTGGAGGTTCGGGACGGGCAGGTGCAAGCCACCAACAGCTCAAGGCTCTTCAAGACAGCAGTTCTAGGTTCTAGGGCTCAGTCATCAAGAATTCTGGTTGAAACTCAGGCCCTCAGAGACTGGACCAGGCAAACTCAGGGTAGAGAAGGGCCAGTGAAAAGTGTTGTTTGAGGGGAAGTTTTTTCACCGGTGCGTTCACTCACCCCAGGCTTTGTAACAAAAATGACAAAGAGTTAAAGTTCCGGAAAGCTTCGTCTAACATTTGCGTGCATTGAGCCCCGATAGAAGAATCTCATGGCAAGAACGGAAGATGCAGAACTGCTGACTACTACAAAACGTTGCCCTGTTACATGCTCAATGACTTACGTCTGGTCACAGACCAGTTTTGATCCCGTTGCTTCCCTGCGTGTCAGAATGTGTCAGATACGGGATCGGAGCACCGTGACCCGATTGGAAGTGGCCAACCTGGCAGCGAACGCCACGAAGCTCACGGTAGACTCCGCTCATGTACTGCTCTGCCTCCTGTGTGATCACACATGGCTGTGTGATCACACATGGGCATGAATTCCGAATTGCTTGCTGGACGGCGGACGCCAAGAACCCTTTCCAGTCCCAGGAGTCGCCGTACACATCTTCTTGAAGCAGCCGAACCACAGTCTTGCCATTCCGCAGCGCCCACTGCTCCTTGAAGTAGTCTCTTTGCGGCACGCCTTTGTCATCTTCAGATCCACCCCACCCGACCCCAAAATGCCCAATGTTGCCATCCAGCTCGATGAGAATGGTGTCGTTGTTCAGGCCAAAGTCGAAAGGCAAAGTGCGATTCGACGCCGGGCTCGTGCAGCCCCCGACCTGCGAGGTGACGTTGAACTGCGAGAAGTTCTGGGCCAGCCACCGCATCAGCTTCCCTTCGGTCTTTCTTGAACATAAACAGGCAGGAGATCGGCCTCTCTGCAGGTGGTTCACAGACGTGCTGCGGGAGCGATGGCCGCAGTGGCGACACGTCACATCCAGCTTCGAGGTCCAGTCTTTCACGTGGGCTTTCCACCAGGCCTCGTCCATGCGCCTGACATCGTACTGGCCACCATGGCGCTCCCAGAGCATCTCCAGACATCGAGCACGCCCTGCCGGACTAGACCAAGGCACGCCGCCATTGCAGAAACAGCCAGGAGCTGTGCCTTGCTGCAGACGATCTAGTGTCGTGCTGCGGGAGCGATGGCCGCAGCGGCGACACGTCACATCCAGCTTCGAGAAAGCACTTTTCACGTGGGCTTTCCACCAGGCCTCGTCCATGCGCCTGACATCGTACTGGCCACCATGGCGCTCCCAGAGCATCTCCAGACATCGAGCACGCCCTGCCGGACTAGACCAAGGCACGCCGCCATTGCAGAAACAGCCAGGAGCTGTGCCTTGCTGCAGACGATCTAGTGTCGTGCTGCGGGAGCGATGGCCGCAGCGGCGACACGTCACATCCAGCTTCGAGAAAGCACTTTTCACGTGGGCTTTCCACCAGGCCTCGTCCATGCGCCTGACATCGTACTGGCCACCATGGCGCTCCCAGATCATCTCCAGACATCGAGCACGTCCTGCCAGGCTGGGCCAAGGCACGGCGCCATTGCAGAAACAGCCAGGAGCTTTGCCTTGCTGCAGGCTGTTCACCGATGTGCTGCGGGAGCGATGGCCGCAGCGGCGACACGTCACGTCGAGTTTCGAAGTGCTGCCTTTCACGTGGGCTTTCCACCAGGCCTCGTCCATGTGGCTGACGTCGTACTGGCCGCCGTAGCGGTCCCCAAGCATCTGCAGGGCCCTGAGCCGGCCGGCTTCACTCCTCCACCGGAACGCGGCTTCTTTGGCAGACCCTTCTTTCTCGACATCCCTTTTCTGGCAACTACGAGCACGAAGACGCTCAAGGGCCGCGCTTCGGGCAGCCCTTCCCACAAGGCAGCTTGGCCTCCAGCCCGCATGCGGGGATGGCAGGAACCCGGGGTGATACCGAAGGCTGGTCAGCACCACGAGTGCAAGCAGCCAACAGACGAGCCACGACCATCCCCGAAACATCAGAACCTCTCAGCCATGCTCAGCAACGTGCGCTGCGCAGGCGGCACGGCATGGGGACTGCGGCAGCGCCAAGGATTCCAGGATGCCGATCTTTAGCCTTGCAACCCAACCTTTGGATGCGCAAACATTGCGGACGCACAACGGAATCACCAGTCCCGCCGCCAAAGTCGAGTTGCAGCTTCGGGACACCCGACAAAGAGGGCGCAACCCCCAAAACCCTGGGCTACCTTTACGGAATCTGCACGTCTTGGAGTCTGGATAGCGCAGTACACGATAAATGGCTTTTCTTTACATGGTCTCGTCGTGTAGGTTCCTGGAAAAAACCCAGAACAACCCCAATGCCGCAAAGAGACCCAAGTCCCAAGCTTCAGGGGCTCATGGGCCACTTCTTCTGCCGCCATCGGCGGGCACTCTCAAACCCTAACTCATGGGATCTTTTTCAAAGTGGCAAGTGTAACAGTCATATAGTACATACAGCAAGTTATGCCACAAGCAAAGACCACAACGAACTGGCTCTCAAAATAATCCGAGTCGAAGTCGGCATCACCAGCACAACTTTGGTCATGTTTCGGGGGCCGAGTGACTTGCTGGGGTTGCTGGGAGGTCGTGGCTCTTTTGTTTTGTTGCTTTCATTTGTTGTTGGGGGGGGGGAGTTTAGGGGCTTCGGGTGTTGGAGCTTGAGGTTGGAATTTGAGGGTTGGGCTTGGGGTTTGGTGTTTTACAACCTTGCGCATTGGCATCGGCCCCTTCGCACCCCCAAAACCATTAAGCCCCTGAACCTTGAAAGCCCTAACCCTGAACCCGGAAAGACCCCTGAACGCCTTAACCCTAGACCCTGACAAGCCCATCACAGCTGTACCCTCAACCCATCGGGCCATGCCTAGATTTCAAGTAAGTTTAGGGTTTCGGGCTTAGGTTTGCAAATCCCAAATCCGAACCCCCAGACCCCCTCATAGCGCAAACCCGGGGCAGGAGACTTGTTTCTGCCGTTGAGGCTGGGAAGCTTCAGCGTACGCACGATTTCGGAGGTAGTCCTTGAAAAGGGCGGGTGGGGGAGCTTCGGGGGTTGAGGGTCTCGGGTTCACTTTGGGTTGGGTTCGGGGTCGAGGGTTGACTCTCTCTGGTTCTCAAGGCTTTCCGGAAACGTCATGGAATCGGTCGTCGGAAGGGCCTTTGCTGGAACTTGCCTCTGGCTGCTGCATAGTTTTTTTAATCCAATTGAATGGAGTATTCCTGGAATGCGTTTTGGGGTTTTGGGCTGAGGGTCGACTAACACCCCCACACATCCAAACCCCAAAACCTTGAGCC